ATAAAAGATTGAGTACCATGGAGCACAATGTTGGATAAAGTTGAGAACCAAAGGGGGAAATGAGACGAAAAACAAGGACGACAAAATGAAAGAACATTGTTTTATTCACTTATACCAGCAAGTTGTCACAGATTTAGTTACCTTCATTTAACTGAACGGTGAAAATTCATACGTAAGCATATTGCATTTCTGTTTTTATTTGTGGCTTTAAACTCCAAATAGGCTTTTATATTTAAAATGCCATGGAAGCCGATTTCAGCGCCACACAGAAAACATAGGAAAGCAATACATCTTAAGAAAACTGGTTTTATTATCATGCAGATCAAAATATACGTTTCGCAGTTAGAGTTTTCAGCTAATCTCGAGTTTACTTACAGCTTGAACAACAAGGCCAGACTACAAAGATAAGGTGTTACAGATCGATTGATGAAGACTATAGCCTGATGGCCACCAGCATTATATCACTGAGAAATATTTCCTTGTGCGATAATGTGTCTATTTTTTGGGAGTATGCACACAAGTCTACCTTATCGGTTCATTGGCACTTGCCATATGTATTCATATGGCAAATGCCGTCTATGAACAAAAGATCTAACCCTTCTGAAAACCTGGTATTTTCTCCTTTAACCTTTTAATGGTCTTCATATCTAAATAATTCCATTGTGGCCCCCTCCCCCTCCCCCTCCCACTACAGAATCGAGGTTGGTGTGTCCATTGTCTTCTTCTAATGGGGTATTTAAGAAACTAAGTTTTTGTTTAGGAAAACGAGTACAATTTGTAATGATGTTAGTACATAGAACGAGATGAAATGTAAGTAATAAAGGATAGACTCTTCAGGATCCCCGTACCACTGCCAAAAATTGTAAATAAGTATTGGAAACTTGTTTTTTCCGGCATGATGATAGCTTTGATAAATCGTCCAAGATTCTCTGAAAAGAAACCCTTACCTTTAGGAACTTTTATGAGAAATAATTAAGATGAAATGAACAAATTATAACCAACAACGGTGTTCTGAGTGTAAAGATTCAACGGGGCCAGACTGGAATTCGAACCCTGGACTTTAGATTCTTAAACTGGTGCTCTTACCGATTAAGTTTATTGGGCAGCGTAAGTGTCCTCGACGTTAATATGCTACAAGTATGTCCAAACGACATTAGAAGGATATTACTGTATATATGAAAGAAAGAAAAAAGAAAAAAAGAACAAAACAAAAACAAATTAAACAACAACAAAACAGTGCAGTCGAACAGGTATCCTTAATTGCACTGTAATCGATATCAACTGATAAATGTCTGGCCAGGCAGCAGTATGACATTCGCAGTGAAACCAAAAACGTTTTTGTTTGGGACAGCCGATGTTTGATAGCTTGGTACTTAACACAGGTGAAAGCACTTGCTAAAAAACCCATTAGTTACAGTTTATTTATTATTCCTTTTTTGAAATATGTGTAATTAATAACACCAGGCCATGATAAGGACAATTGATAAGTAATCCCACGTACACAGCGTATTTCATGTATATTTTACATCTAGATGGGCGTGCTGATTAGTAAGAGAAGAGGAATCTGCAATTTGATCTTGACCTACCTATTAATTGTTCTTATCATGTCAGATACATGTATTTTTTGTAATATACTACCGTCATTGTACCCTAATCAGGACAGTAAGCAACACGGGACACTTGTGGCAAAACGGCCAAAGAAATTGTCACTCAATGCTTGACTGTGTACTTTTGTGTACTTTTGTGTATACAGTTTTCATTTGATAATACTTTTCATAACAATTAAACTGTATTAAGCTTTATTGGCTAATGATTATCGTTACATGGACAATTTCAAGGTAAGAATAATGACCAAAACAAAACTTTCCCGATTTTCGTGCTGTGCGACGCTATCTATTTGGATATCATTTTCAAAAGTCTATTTTATCAAAACCAATGCTAGTTTGGAGAGAAAAATTGATCAGAACCCTCGTTGACTCTAAAATATTTCAACGATACACATTTTCTGCCGATATTGATCGTTTTCCCCCAAATATTCGCCAAAATACCGAAAGCGTCCCTTTCAGGGTACAGTCACGTCGGCTCAAGGGCCTACGTAACTCTGATGGTATTTCGCGTTCTTTTTATAGAACGACGCGCCCGAAACATCAAATTGTGATAGAAATGAAAAGCGGATAGTACCTTTTATATGAAAAATTAACAAACATTTTTGGAACTAATAGTATGGTTTAAAGAAAATTTATATTCATCTGAAAAGTGTCCCGATTTGGGTACAGTGACGTTAGACATACGTAGATTTTTGCGAGCTTAATGAGAAATAGTGACGCAGTCTTTTTGATTACGAGGAGATATTTCCTACAATAGACGGTATCTATCTAATTACAATTTTTCGCCAATCGATCATTTTCCAATAGAGAAGTAATTGCTTTTATCCTGAGGATCTGTTTCCTATCATATACAATATCAATACCGTTGCATTAAACCAAGCATCGATCATTTCCCAGTTTTATTACCGGTAACATTTTCTTTTGAAATGTTCAAACGTTGTCTGTTATCTTTTTAAACTAAGATCGTATTTACAGTAGGAAATTCTGCCAAGCCCAGTTATCTGAATGTACGGGGCGCGAGCACTTTATTAATGTATGTCACTAGTCTTCTTAATCTACATCTTTACAAACCCTATGTTGTAAGTTTGTCCGTCAGACGTTGTAATACTCGGATCTACAAATTAAACATAATATGTAATTTTAGGTGAAAATTATGAATTTGATCGTTTGTAGAACAACTTAAGACAATATCTTCCTATTGTGAAATCAGAAATCTGTGCATCTTTGAGCAATACATAAACTTATTACTTAATAATATTATGGAAGTAAAGATTCTTTAAATTATCTTTGTATCTCAGAAATATATGACTTAACCATTTATATATTTGATGACTAACCTTTCTTAATTTTTGCAGATTTGATAGAAAAAAAATGTNGGGGGGGGAGAGGGGTCCCATTTGCTTCTTGTTTGCTGCATTTTTTTGTGTAATGTTTCAAATTTTGCAGAAACTAAATCAAAATAGCTTCAGTAGGTATATGAGTAAAACTGCAAATCATGTGCAATTTTCCATTTTGTCACTCGCATTTATATTTGTTTTCATAATATTTGAAAATATAAACTTGTACAGCAAAAATCAAGTTGCTAAAATTGAAAAATGGCGACACAATGAGTGATAAATCGATTGAAAAAAAGGAGATATGTGGAGCGCAAGAAACCTTTTGGGATATTCAAATTGGGTGCCGATTTAGTCTTTTTTTTTTCAAACTTGTAAAAGAATTCTGCCAGAAAAGCTTTTGCTATTGATTTTATTTAATTTCAACTTAAATAAGAACCAGTTACTCTATATCTAAACAAGGCGAATGTGATTAAAATTAAATAAAATCAATATCAAAAGCATTTTCTTGCAGAAATTTTAAACCTTAAAAGAACAGATCCTTAATATTCGATTTAGTCTGCGTTTGTGCCTCTTATTTTGTTTGTTTTCAGTTTTAGTTACGTTTACAAATACCGTTCCTACACACCATATCCATTTCACTTAGGCAAACCTAAATCAGATGATTATTATTGAGATACAACTTAGCTTAAAAGCTTATATATATCCAAAATGTTATCCTATATCCAGTATTCTCAAACCCACAATTAACGCTGCACGTGCTGTACGTCATTCTCTAACCATTGTTGCGTGTGCATCAGTGGAATTATCACACCTGTACCAGCACATACATGGGAGGTTGTACTCGTGAAAGTAATATTTGTCATTTAAAATATGTTCTTTTATGTTTTTAATTGAGTGTAGATATTGCTTTTAAATACTGATTACAGTAGCTCTTCCTAAATTGTATTACTACAGGGTCTCATATTTTTGCCAACTATTTTCGAATGACGAGTTATGTAGTTTGACATTTTTCGCAAATATGTTGACATAATCTGATTTATATTCTCAAATTACATGGACATGAATATCAACATGATCGACATACGACTGCATTTTCCGAGATGAGATTGCCGAGAAATTAATCTCGAATGTGGACAATTCGGCTATTTTTATCATGTCGATGCTTGGATGCGACATTGGCTTACTACTTATACATCTAGTAAATATTGCTGATATACAAAACCTAAAAAGAGGCTCAATCGTGAGTGAACCTACTTATTATAAGTTATAAGTACATCGCGTGACAGTTTCTTTGAAAATAATTGGTTAATTAATCTTCGTCTGTTTTGCATAAATAAGTGGTATCCGTATAAGTACGCCTAGCTGGAGAACCAGTTCGAACGTTAATAAGATCAAAGGAGCGATACCTCAGGACCAAGCAATCCTGTGATACGACACCTTGTATACGTCCAACACTAACTAGCGGTAGTGAGTTAAACAACCATTGATTGTGCAGCTCACAAAACATTGATATCATGACAGCATGGAGTTGAAATGCGGTATTCTACCAGTGGTACTTAAAGTATACCTCATCAACGCACGTAAGGTTTACATACTTGTTTTTATTTCTCGACCAATCAGTCCTTTTCGTTAGAATAAATTGTTTGTGTCTATAGTTATTTCAATATGTTGAAAATTGATATTTTTACAAAAATTTAAACAATTCATAGTGTGTTGATCTTGTATAACTATAGCACACACTTTCAAAAGTCTGCAATGTACAATGCATAATAAAATATGCAAGTTAAAAGTTAGGATGGTCGGGTGGCGCAGTGAACCGATCGGTCACCTGTCCGATAGCGTTTGTTTATTCCAGGTACTTCAGTTTCCTCCCACATTTAGAACATATGGGCGCTTCCTACAGGGCCAACAATAGTGATTGTCAAAAGTAATATAACTTGTTTTGTTATTGTTGTAAAATAAATAAAGTTTATACAATGTATATTATATTCTGAATGAAATTTACAAATAAGGGCGGTTATTTCAAAATGTATTTTATTTTTCCCGTGTGTTTCAGCTGGTATGGCTGTTTGTATAAATCCGCCATTACAAACTAGCGGCTGGATACCTATTTCTGCGTATACGAACCCGCAAGTGACGTACACCCATGGCCTTGGTGAGGTACCAATCAAAGTCGATGTCCAGGTCCGCGTAACAGACACAACACAAAACAAATATATTATCTTCAGCGCAATTGGCTCAGGCCATAGAGGAAATGACGACAATTCAGAATTCGGCGGAGTTGTATACGTGTACAATGAAAACGAAGTGAAGATGTTCGCTCCTGGCTCTTCTGGTGGAACTGGAATGGGAAAACTCGTACATCTAGGTAAATTTATTATTATTTAATCTGATGTTACTACCTTTAATGTTTTGTTGACGAGATTGTGTGTGGTACATCTATGAAAACGGTTTGTGATTTCAACAATTTGGAGGTCTTTTTGTTCTCCTTGGTACAATTATTTTATTTGATAGTAAGCAGAAACTAAATTTCGGGAAGCGGTATTTAAAGATATTGTGTTATTTTCCTTTATTCGAGCTGTACTTATTGCTGGTATCGAATTATAGTGATAGTAACCCGGTATACTCTATACACAACGCTATATACTATTTATACGAAGAAATTGTAAACAGAATATATTTCCCTGTATACTATAGAAATAAACGTAATTATTTCATTTTTACCAATAACATTTTACACTATCCTTAAATGTCAGATCATAATAGTATGTATAAGTGTAGAGTATGAGGTAATGCAATCTTTAAAGAACCATAATATGTTAAGAAACCATACTATAGCCTTTTTGGCATTATAAAGTGCAGCTGCTCCGGATATTGCAAATAATGATAGAAAAGGGCATAGGCAAATATCCTGATTTGTCGAAACAAAAGGATTCCTGTTTAACCCATTCCTCATTCATATGAAGAGATATTGTGCTCATGAGAGATATTCTTTTAATTTAATTGTAAGGTCGGTCCTACAATCCTATACTATTTTCTAGGCATTTGGTCATATTTATGCGTTCAATCATCTTTACGTCTCTTGACTCCAACATTACCATATGTAATATATTGGCATTATCACACATGGTAATTAAAAATGGAAGAAATATGTATGATCCTAAATTTCCAATTTATGGATGCTTTCTTCACATTTTACAAAACAGGTGGATCCAAGTACGTTGGTCCGACAATCACCGGGAATTTCTCTTCTGGACACGTTCGAGTTCGTCTGTGGAAGAAATGCAACTTTGCAAAGCCAACCTACGTATCTGGTAGTGTGACTCTGAACAATGGTAAGTTCATTATCTCTAGACAATATCGAGATTTAGTAATTGAAACGCTTCATGAACCATCAATAATAAATAATGTTTTCTAATCCAGTAACTGACGTCTTAATTAGAAACGGTATTGTCTTCTAACTGAAGTCAATATCATGAAATAAACCTGATCCCGTTAATAAAATAAAAAGAAATAGATGGTATTACGACTTTAAGACCATGGCCGATAGCTGTTTATCGCGTTCCGAACGGTTGGACCAGAATTGAAAACGAAACCGACCTAGTGATTTGCCTGCATTAACATTTGCAGGTCTGACAGGTTTATACGAACTACGGATTCCCCTTTTTTCAAATTTTACGTGGTCTGACAGGTTTATACGAACTACGGATTCCCCTTTTTTCAAATTTTACGTATCAGCCTGTACATTACTCATACACCATCAAAATGTTGAATTTATAACCCTGAAACCTTTCAAATGGACTCGGGTAGGGGGTACTCCGGGACTATATATGACATTAAACCCATAATATTAACAGCAACGCTACTATTCTTTGTCTTCCAGCGGAATCTACGTCCTATCAGGAAGTGTTTCATACTGTCGGTAGAATACCAGACCTTGTCATCGTACAGGTCTTCCTCGACAACGGTTGGGTAACAGATGCTCAAGGTAAGTTTAATAAACGATATCTTTTTTTAAAATTGGATTTCTTTTAAAAAGTACCTCTGGAAATATTCTCCAGTTTCCACAAAGTACAGTTGTATAGAATTCTCCTTGTGTTTCGTCAGTTCGTTCGTCTGAGTAGTTGCCAGACTGTTTCTATACTATCTCATTCAATTTTATCAAGATAAAGGTTTTGATAAGTTATCCAGCAAGAAACAGTTTCCGGAACCTTTCTCGCATGCTTTTTTGTGTAGGACCATCTTGCTAAGTTCGAAAACTTTTTTCACGGATTTGCGATCTAGTATTCCCAACTTTGATCCCTCTATATAAATCGAAATCACCGTGTATTTATCATTTGTTTAGATTTTGGTTGCTTATAACGAGACAATTGTAATACTTTGTACATGCCGAGTGTTAATCCTTTTTGCTTTGCTGTTTTAATTAATCATTTGACATTAAATTTGTTTTGATAGGTATTTCATTTTACTCTGAGAGCTCAAACTCATTTGGAGGTGTGGTATTTGCATTTGGAAAAAACAGTGTTCGAATTTGGACTCCAAAGAAAGGGTCAGGATCTGCTTCGAACGGTATGCGCATAAACCTTAATTAATTTCAAAACGTTACACATTATTATTAACCAACTGACATGTATGCTGACTGTTGTCCTCAATTATCAGCACTCCATGTGGAATATAAATTCATTTCTATCAGACAAATACAAAACCTGCTCCGGTTTATATATCAGTGAAATTGAAAGAGGTTTTATTATGTAGTTTATTCTACCTCAAAGTAATATACCTATCCATCATAAAACAGTCATCGCCCTCCATAAAAAATCTATATACCCTCATCTAATACCCATTTTACAAAAATTCTTTTAGATACACTTGTACTCTTTTATGGAATACTTTGGAAGAAACCATACGAACCACAACAAATGTTCTGGCTTTTAAAAAGGCATATCTGGCCAATTATTTTTAAAATACTAGATCATGAATACCATGTGTAACCGGCGGACCAAGTAGGTAGGGGATTCCCAATCACTGGGAAACCAGGTACTATATGGTATATACTATATGTATATTTTAAAGTACAATATTTGAAATTATCCCTATGGTTCTGTTTAATATAATTTCCAGAGATAATCCTTATATTACCCTGTGATAAATATATGTATGTATTGACTTGTAATACACTGTGATATTTTCTAATGTTCTAAATGCAATTCTGTGATATTTAGTGATACAATATAATAGGTTGTCTTAATAATGTATTGTACTATTTAACTATCTTTTTCTATTTTATTGTATGTCATATGTCTCTGTATGCGTGATGTGCTGTTGTTTTATGTATGTATATATAATGTGTTTTACAGGGCCATATTGTAAACTAGATGAAAATCTAAATATGTTACCCTGTCTAAATAAAAGAATTTATTATTATTATTATTATTACCTATCTATCCACGATAATATAGCAAACTACAAGAGAATACCGAAGTGTCAACATAATCCAAATTCGAACTGAACATCTATAAATCTAGGGCTTTGTGATGTATTTAACCTAGTTATACCTATCTTAGGTGTCGTGTTTAACGCGGTGGACGGCTGGGGCAAACGCGGCCAGTTTATGTACGATGATGACGCCACAGTTAGAGTTTGGGCCTGGAACTTCGGAGATTTGGAAAACGACCCTTCCAAAATAGTGACATATTTGAGAAATCTCCCACCCAACGGCACAGTATCACAGTCTGTTTCGATCAAAGATGAAGGTTTCTTAACAGTCAAGGCAAGGCTCTGAAATTATTCACAATATTTTTAAATCCATGCTACTTTCATTATTGATCTTTTGTTATCACTTCTATATAGTCAAATTTGATCTAATCATAACCTTTAATAATATCTTTTTTTGTCCTCTCTATATACTCAATTTTAGTGTAATTATCACCTGTTCTAATATATTTTGTTTTGACCTATATATAGTCAATTCTTATTTTATTATAATTTTTAAATAATATGATTTGTTGTCGACTCTATGTAGTTAATTCTTATTTAATTGTAATATTTAAATAATCATTTTTGTCACCTCTGTAATGTCAATTTATTTCATAACATCTTACACTCAAGTTATTAGTCCATGAACGTTCCCTCATTCCTTTTATACTTTAGGAAGGCATTATCGAAGGTACCGAAAACCAAATTTAAGAAATTTCTTCTACTTAAGTAATGTTCTCCTAGGGGAAATGTTAACCATAATCTTTGTAGCTGGAGTGCTACTCTATAAGATTTTGCCCTATATTTTGCTCAAACTTTCCAATTTGCTTTAACATATCATCTTAAGCATATCTTGAATTTTGCTTCCGCAAATCACATGCCTATACAAATGTACATAAAATCTGGTCGAATAGTTTACAAAAAATAGCTTCAAATATATGATGTCCGAAAACTTGTAGGTTTTGTTGTTAAAAGTATCTGATGGAATTGTTACCACATACAGGTACAGGTGGAGGCGGGCACAAATGAAGGCTTTGGTTTCTACGCCGCGGGAACAGCACCAACAACAGACGGACTGGGAACGTCGGTGTTTTACGCTGGAATAGTTTATGGCGTAATGGAGGATACAATCATGATGTGGCACCCGGATGACAGTGAGACACAGGGCTGTCTGGCCATGGTGTACGGACAATGGGGAAACGGCAACGAGCAACAATGTGTGAAAGAAGATGACTCCCAGATTGTAGTACAATTGTCCTATGCTGATGTTAATGGTACGGGAAATTGTGATCACCACATCTTTCTGATGTATTCACTTATTTTATATTAAATTCAATCTGTTTCACCGAACAAGATATAAACTATATGAATTCTGTCTTCAATTATTTGATGTTGTTCAGTCAAGCAAAATTCAACATAGCCATGACGTCATATCGACATTCTTGATATAAGGAACCATCAAAGTGCGACTGTTCTTGGTCCCATTTATATACATTTTACATTTACAAAAATATTAAATATACAGAGCGTTCGCGAAACATATTACATGTTTGTTTTGTTTTAATTTTCGTATTTAGACACTGTTGATGACAGTTTTCTTTGTAACACCAAATGAGCGCTATACGTTAAATGTATCCTCTTGTTTCGACTTTGATCAAAGATCAGTCTCTTAATACTTTGACACTATTATACTTTACAGAACCACCATGCAAAGAGAAGGACTGTAACCCGTCCGACATAGGTCCTATGTGTGTATGTGATGGATCTGGGTACGAAGGACAGTATTGTGGCACGAGTAAGGATTTGATCATATTTTCAGTACTAGCCTGTATTTTTTAATTGTTATTTTTAATTGTTTACATTTTGTACGAAAAATCATATTGCAACGGAAAATTTAATGAAATCATGATTATGTGTTTCGAAGCTTACTACACCAAAGAGACGGACAATCTGTCAAAAAATAATACGAAAATAATATTTCATATTGTTTCGGGACATCAGAGCCATTCATACAACATCGTTTATCAAAATATTATCTTTCCTCGAATTACATGGATATCAGACGGTTAATGTTACGGAGGAACTATGCAGAAAGTTGAAAATATAAATTTCTTTTACAAAATATGAAGAACACTTTTGGAAGGAGGTTTTCTAAGCTACATATCTATCAACAAGAATTTGCAGAATGTAATACTAGTATGACAGTAGAATGTTTCTTGTTAGGCCAAGTTCATTGAAATAATGCTTTTTGTTAATTATTTAAATTTAATTGTAATTAACTCAAAAAAGTTTGTTAGACATGTTCTCATTATTGATAACTAACACTAATTGATCTCGCGCAGAGCGTAGTGACACATCCAGTCATGTTGTGGATTGTCCATTGTTTTATTTCGACTATAAACACTGCATGCATTGCACTGACGAAGTATGCAGTATCGTAGATACGAGATTACATTTGTAAACAAATACGAACCCGTGAATATAAACTAATTAGAAATTCCATTATTTATCATTGTAATAAATGTGGCAGTGTTATTTGTCTCATTATTTGACATGCCACACCAAAGCAAATCAAAGTCACGTTGTCTCCAGAACTCACAAGCGTGAAGTTGGTTATTTATTCAATATTGGGCTAGTCAATTCATGTCTATATGAAGGGATACATAAATGAAGCCTCGGTAAGGTTCTTACCAGAGACTGTTCATCACTCAGAAATAGGCTACTACCTCCACACTGTCCTCCGTAGCGAATGCAAACAAGACACAGATAGAAGCAATATTGCTATTCGATATCATTAATCACCGAGTTCCGCCCCTCAGGCCCCTGGGGTTTTGGGATCATATTATTCACAATTTGGGTTGACCTTTGGCCATGGAAGGTTTCTGCAAAATTTGATTGAAATTGGTTCAGGGGTTTTGGAGAAGAAGTCGAAAATGTAAATTGTTTACGGACGGACGACGGACGACGAAAGGCGATCGCAATAGGTCAGGTGACCTAAAAACGGGAACAGATGTATGCATTGCCCTATTGCTAAACCTGCACAAATAAATGGTTGCGATATTAATAAAATTACAAGAGAATACTTCGAAAATACATATTTTTGCGGTATTCTTATTTTAACGATTTTCCCGACTTATATATCCCGCTAAATCATGATAACGGTAATAGAGGATTCTGTATATATTATCGTATTGCGTATATTTTGAGAGCGCTAATCCTTTATAGCGCTGATCTGTTCAATTTCGATAAAACGCTAAAATTTGAGTCCGCTAAAATAAATACTTTTACAGGGGCGTTTCTAGGTTATCTTTCGCCGAGCGTAGCGAGGGAAAAAATGTAATGTACGGTTCCTGACTTGGAGCATGTATATTTTATAGTTAAAGTGTCAGGGTGTTTATGTGTTTAATGAATGAATATGATAAATTGCCATATTCAATACAAAATTAGCAGATTACGATAGTTTTTGGGGTATTTTCTTTTGAAAAGGGGGGGGGGGGGGGGGGGTTACGCCCATTACGCCCTCACCTGGACCCGCCCCTGTTTTACAGTAACAAGTTTATTTCTCAGGGATTTTGAATAAAAAGTACCAGTAAAACAATAAAGCAGTATTCTAAACAAAACGTAACAGTACAAAGTATATTTGTAATATAAAAACGACGAAAAATATTTAATAAAATGAACAACATGACGTAACAATACCTATTACAAATTCAAACGAAATAAACCCATGCTAACTCAATTCAATGCATTCTAAAAGACCCAGGAAAATATTAAACATAACATCAAAACATGTATTCAAAACATGATATAACAATACATTTTACTATCTAGCCAAAATAAAACGATGTTTACTTGTAAAAATGTATTCTAAATCAGCATTTTTTTTTTTTTTTAGTTGTACAATGTGCAGGCCCAACCGCACATCAAAATGCCAATTATGACCCGTATCAACACCTTTACGATTTTGAGTCGACTATTACATTTACCTGTAAGAAAGGCTATAAGTCCGACTCCGGAGATAAAACGGCGAAATGTAATGCTTATATGGAGTGGGAAGGACTTCCTTACCTGTGTATTCGTAAGTAAGAAAAAAAGCATCTTTGGCCTTTATCAAAATGTGTAACGTAGTAATGTAAATGATCTTGAAGTATCCATTATGAATGGTCTAATAACGACTGGTTAGATATGTTACACTCAAAATCGTTACGGCGTCAACAAGTCTTGTTCAAAAAGAAAACGCCTACAAACCGAACGGTTGTTTCAGCGTGTCACTCACTGTATCTGGCTCGTCGAGTGGTCGATAGAACGTTTGAGGTCGGTGTCGTCCTTGTAATCAAAAGCAGTGTACAACATTGTATCTTTTTCGGAGACTTGTTGTTTGCGCGCTTTGTCAACTTACGATTACGCATACACGTATATGGAAATGTAAAATTTACATTGCATGTACATATTTCAAGCCATGTCTCAAGACTTGAATGTTTTGTTTATTATGTACTTATACACATTTTCGTTAACTATAATGATATTTATGATTACAAGAGGGCAAAATGAAGAACATTACAAATGCTATAAGATTCCCTACCATATACTTTTAAGGATCCCCGTACCACTGCCAAAAAAGAAGTGAAGTATTGGAAAGTGTTTTTTTCGGCATGACTATAGCTTTGATAAATCATTTCTGAAAAGTAAAACAAACTTTCCGGGACTTTAATGAAAAATCATATGAATTAAATAAACAAAAATAACCAACAACAGAGCTCTTTTATTATATGTTTACCAATTGACCATTATCTTTTTGTTTGTTATTTTGATATAAAATGATATATATCCACTGGACCTGATCTTGTTGTTTGGTACTTTATATATAATATCCACTGGACCTGATCTTGTTGTTTGGTGCTTTATATATTATGTCTTATATCCACTGGACCTGATCTTGTTGTTTGGTACTTTATATATAATATCCACTGGACCTGGTCTTGTTGTTTGGTAGTTTATATATGATGTATTGTATCCACTTGACCTGGTCTAGTTGTTTGGTACTTTATATATAATATCCACTGGACCTGGTCTTGTTGTTTGGTACTTTATATATTATATCCACTAGACCTGGTCTTGTTGTTTGGTACTTTATACATTATGTATTTTATTTACTAGACCTGGTTTTGTTGTTTGGTACTTGATACATGATGCATTATATCAACTAGACCTGATCATGTTGTTTGGTACTTTATATATTTTATACACTGAACATGGTCTTGTTTCTTTATACTTTATATATCATGTATTATATCCACTTGACCTGTTCTTTTGTTTTTGTACTTCATATATTATGTATTTTATCCACTTGACCTAGTCTAGTTGTTTGGTACTTTGTATATAATATCCACTGGACCTGGTCTTGTTGTTTGGTACTTCATATATGATGTATTATATTCACTAGACCTGGTCTGTTGTTCGGTACTTTATATATGATGTCCACTGGACCTGGTCTTGTTGGTTGGTACATTATATGATGTATTATATTTACTAGACCTGGTTTTGTTGTTTGGTACTTGATACATGATGTATTATATCCACTAGACCTGGTCTTGTTGTTTGGTACTCTATATATGATGTTTTATATTCACTAGACCTGGTTTTGTTGTTTGGTCCTTGATATGTGATGTATTATATCCACTGGACCTGGTCTTGTTGTTTGGCTTTATATATGATGTATTATATCCACTAGACCTGGTTTTGTAGTTTGGTACTTTATATATGATGCATTATATTCACTAGACGTGGTTTTGTTGTTTGGTACTTGAGACATGATGTATTATATTCACTAGACCTGTTCTAGTTGTTTGGTACTTTATATATGATGCATTATATTCACTAGACCTGGTTTTGTTGTTTGGTACTTTATATATGATGCATTATATTCACTAGACCTGGTTTTGTTGTTTGGTCCTTGATATATGATGTATTATATCCACTGGACCTGGTCTTGTTGTTTGGTACTTTATATATGATGTATTATATCCACTAGACCTGGTTTTGTTGTTTGGTACTTGATACAAAATGGATTATATTCACTAGACCTGGTCTGTTGTTTGGTACTTAATATATTATGTATTATATCCACTGGACCTGATCATGTTGTTTGGTACTTTATATATTTTATACACTGAACATGGTCTTGTTTGTTTAAATTTTATATAATATGTATTATATACACTTGAACTGGCCTTGTTGTTTTGTTCTTTATATATTATGTATTATATCCATTGGACCTGATCATGTTGTTTGGTACTTTATATATTTTATACACTAGACATGGTCTTGTTACTTTATACTTTATATATAATGAATTATATTCACTAGACCTGGTATTGTTGTTTGGTACTTTATATATTATGTGTTATATCCACTGGACCTGATCATGTTGTTTGGTTCTTTATATATTATGTATTCTGTCCACTTGACCTGGTCTAGTTGTTTGGTACTTTATATATAATATCCACTGGACCTGGTCTTGTTGTTTGGTACTTTATATATGATGTATTATATCCACATGACCTGGTCTAGTTGTTTTGTACTTCATATATGATGTATTATATTCACTAGACCTGGATTTGTTGTTTGGTACTTTATATATGATGTATTATATTCACTAGACCTGGTCTGTTGTTCGGTACTTTATATATGATGTATTATATCCACTGAACCTGGTCTTGTTGTTTGGTACATTATATGATGTATTATATTCACTAGACCTGGTCTTGTTTTTTGGTACTTTATATATGATGTATTATATTTACTAGACCTGGTTTTGTTGTTTGGTACTTTATATATGATGTTTTATATTCACTAGACCTGGTTTTGTTGTTTGGTACTTGATACATGATGTATTATATTCACTAGACCTGGTCTAGTTGTTTGGTACTTTATATATAATATCCACTGGACCTGATCATGTTGTTTGGTACTCTATATATTTTATACACTGAACATGGTCTTGTTTCTTTATACTTTATATATTATGTATTATATCCACTTGACCTGATCTTGTTGTTTTTGTACTTCATATATTATGTATTATAATCACTGGACCTGGTCTAGTTGTTTGGTACTTTGTATATAATATCCATTGGACCTGGTCTTGTTGTTTGGTACTTCATATATGATGTATTATATTCACTAGACCTGGTCTTGTTGTTTGGTACTTTATATATAATGTATTATATTCACTAGACCTGGTCTGTTGTTCGGTACTTTATACATGATTTATTATATCCACTGGACCTGGTCTTGTTGTTTGGTACTTGATACATGATGTATTATATTCACCAGACCTGGTCTAGTTGTTTGGTACTTTATATATAATATCCACAGGACCTGGTCTTGTTGTTTGGTACTTTATATATGATGTTTTATATTCACTAGACCTGGTTTTGTTGTTTGGTACTTCATACATGATGTATTATATTCACTAGACCTGGTCTTGTTGTTTGGTACTTTATATATGATGTATTATATCCACTAGACCTGGTCTTGTTGTTTGGTACTTGATACATGATGTATTATATTCACCAGACCTGGTCTAGTTGTTTGGTACTTTATATATAATATCCACAGGACCTGATCTTGTTGTTCGGTACTTTATATATGATGTATTATATCCACTAGACCTGGTTTTGTTGTTTGGTATTTGATACATGATGTATCATATTCACTAGACCTGGTCTGTTGTTTGGTACTTTATATATTATGTATTATATCCACTGGACCTGATCATGTTGTTTGGTACTTTATATATTTTATACACTGAACATGGTCTTGTTTGTTTATATTTTATGTATTATGTATTATATACACTGGAACTGGACTTGTTGTTTTGTTTTTTATATATGATGTATTATATCCACTTGACCTGGTCTAGTTGTTTGGTACTTTATATATTATGTATTATATCCACTTGACCGGGTCTAGTTGTTTGGTACTTTATATATAATATCCACTGGACCTGGTCTTGTTGTTTGGTACTTTACATATGATGTATTATATCCACTAGACCTGGTCTTGTTGTTTGGTACTTTATATATGATGTATTATATTCACTAGACCTGGTTTTGTTGTTTGGTACTTGATACATGGTGTATAATATCCACTGGACCTGGTCTTGTTGATTGGTACTTCATATATGATGTATTATATTCACTAGACCTGGTCTTGTTGTTTGGTACTTTATACATGATATATTATATCCACTAGACCTGGTCTGTTGTATGGTACTTTATATATTATGTATTATATTCACTAGACCTGGTCTTGTTGTTTGGTACATTATATGATGTATTATATTTACTAGACCTGGTCTGTTGTTCGGTACTTTATATATGATGTATTATATCCACTAGACCTGGTCTGTTGTTTGGTTCTTTATATATTATGTATTATATCCACTGGACCTGGTCTTGTTGTTTGGTACATTATATGATGTATTATATTCACTAGACCTGGTCATGTTGTTTGGTACTTTATGCATGATGTATTATATCCACTAGACCGGGTCTTGTTGTTCGGTACTTTATATATTATGTATTATATTCACTAGACCTGGTCTTGTTGTTCGGTACTTTATATATTATGTATTATATTCACTAGACCGGGTCTTGTTGTTTGGTACTTTATATATTATGTATTATATTCACTAGACCTGGTCTTGTTGTTTGGTACATTATATGATGTATTATATTTACTAGACCTGGTCTGTTGTTCGGTACTTTATATATGATGTATTATATCCACTAGACCTGGTCTGTTGTTTGGTTCTTTATATATTATGTATTATATCCACTGGACCTGGTCTTGTTGTTTGGTACATTATATGATGTATTATATTCACTAGACCTGGTCATGTTGTTTGGTACTTTATGCATGATGTATTATATCCACTAGACCGGGTCTTGTTGTTCGGTACTTTATATATTATGTATTATATTCACTAGACCTGGTCTTGTTGTTCGGTACTTTATATATTATGTATTATATTCACTAGACCGGGTCTTGTTGTATGGTACTTTATATATTATG